TAGAAATGGTAGGTATATTTTGGGAACATATTCTTTAAAACGACAAACAATAGTTCGAACAAATAACAAAATTATAGAAAGAGTAATGAATATTAACAAAACAAATCATTTTTGTAATTGTTCCATGTGAGTCCCATTGCTCTAGGTGCATAATTAATATAATTTAAAAAAGGCATGAACCGACTAAATTTTTAAAACAAAAACTTACAGCCTGAAACTTTTTTTATTTTATAGTATATTTTTTCTGATATTTTTTATATTTTTCAGCGTGGTCAGTCAACTGTTATAAACAAAAAAAGTTGTAAAAAAAATAACTCGCAGAATGACTTTGATGACAGTTGTTTTATTGTAAAATGGACAAAAATAAACACTTTTTGTTCTTTGACAAAAATTGTAAAAATGCTTTGTTTCCGAGATATTTACAATTTAATGTGAAAAAAGTGACGGAATCGACAAACTTTCGGAATTTTTTTCTCAAAAACTATTGAACAGAGTTTAATTCTAAAAAAAACATAATAATCGGCAGATCTTCTACTTTAAGATATATTTTTTTGGTATGGGTCAATCATTTTATTGAAGGTCTAAAGCGGATAAATAAAGTCTTTTAAAGTCAAATTTAAATTTTCTTTTTACAATATCTTGGATTAGATTATATTTACAATAAACATTATTATGATTTTTTTAATCGATATTATTAACAGTACAAATGTTCAAAAGATCATTTTGTTTGGTTTTGTAGCCGGAGTAAGGTTTTTGCAAGTAATTAGTAAAATTTAAATATTCGATTTTTGGTTTTATAAATGATTAAAATTGACTTGAAAACTAAATTAAATATGCTTTTTAAATCGTTAAATTAATAATAATAGTTGACCTAGCGGTCCCGAAAAATAAAAAAGTTATTGGATAATAATTTTTTTATTATTTTATAAAAATATTAAGAGCAATAAAAGTACATATATTAATTTCTTTTTTATTTAATTTTTAAATAGTAAGTTTTTCGTTATTTTCGACAAGTTCTTGACTTGAAATAAGCGTTTCATCATTAATTTCGGATGGAACATTTTGACATTCATCTGAGCACGCTCAGACTGCACAGCATTCCAGGTTCGATGACAAACAGTTACAATTTTTCGTATAACATTTTCCACTACTTGAACAAAAATATGTTTATCATGATTTTCTTTAATTTTTACTCGCTTTAGACCTTCAATAAAATAATTGATCTATACCAAAAAAAAATAAAGTAGAAGATATGCCGATTATTATGCTTTTTTGGAATTAAACTCTGTTCAGTAGTTTTTGAGAAAAAATTCCGAAAGTATGTCGATTTCGTCACTTTTCACAATAAATTGTAAATATCTCGGAAACGAAGCATTTTTCGAATGTTTGTCAAAGAACAAAAAGTGTTTATTTTGGTCCATTTTACGATGAAAAAACAGTATTTTTTTAAACTTTTTTGTTTATAACAATTGACTGACCACGCCGAAAAATATAAAAAAAAATATGTAAATTATCAGAAAAATATACTTTATAAAATAAAAATAGTTTCATGCTGTGGGATTTTGTTTTGAATATTTAGAATAATCTTTTTAGGGGTGAATCGCTCGCCTATAGATGCGATCACATTTTCTAATACGTCGGGATTATTATTGATATTCGCAATGTCGGTCGTTATTCTTTCAATTAATTGCTCTACATATTCTACTCCATTAGTATACTTTATTTTTTATATAACCCCACAAGAAAAAATCCAGTGGACTTAGATCTGGACTACGGGAAGGTGCCTCGCCTACCAATTCACTCCGTGAAATTATTTAAAAAGTTGGTTTAATGGAATTTCTGACATAAAGTCGTCTATTTCCGTTTGTAGAAACTCTAAGTACCTTCTGTCTGTTAGACTTCCATGAAAACTAATAAAGGTATCCGCGTGCTGAGGATCTCTCACCAAATATTTACCGTCCTTCTTCCTTGAAAATACGTGGGTCAATGTTATATCCATCATTTCCTGACAAAATGTTATCATTTAATGTTAATTTTTGGACGGGCATTAGTTTAAATGATTTTAAATTATCCTTTTTAAGAACTATTTGTATGCATGATTTAGAAAGACCAAAATCTCTGGCTGCGTTCCTTATGGAAAACCTATGATTTTCTTGAAAATACAAAAGAACATTTAACTTCATTTGTTAATTATTATTATTAATATTTCTAGTACGCCTTTTGTCTTCAGATATATGAAAATGTCTGAACTTAGTGCCATATTTAAGAAAGTTTTTCTTGACCTGTCAAGATACTTGTTTCGGTAATATCTGACAACGGCGCTAGCATTATTGTTGTTATTGAAATATACTTCGACAATATTACTACGTTCTTTGGTATAATGCATATTTCCCGCTTTGATTTACCGAAAATTTATTCACAACTACTGTTTATTGTTATTTCAATTGTCATAAATGCCAATTTATTGGAAACAAAATATCAATAAAATCATGGCAATCTTGAACATGCAAATTGGGGGGTTAATTTTTGCGAATAAATGCAAATATATCAAAAACTGTCACAAATAAGTGCCACATATGTTATATACTTTTGTTCAGAATAAAATTTTACATCTAAAAATGTAATAATTTGCAGGGTATTCCAATAAAAAACAATAAGTTGTATCTGTCAAACCGATATTTAAATTTGTATTGTTTTTTTGTTACTACAAACAGAAACTTCATAAAAAACACTATAACTTTTATTTCAACAAAATTTTTATATCTGCAAAACTAACCCTATAAAAAAATAATTTTTCATTGGTTCCGTTATTTTATACCTTTCATCTCAAATACGTATTTTTTTCTTGTTAACAAATAAATGGGTACAAGTACTGTCCGTACCGACTTGAAAAAAGTAAATAAACGCGTTGAAATGTGGAAATTTCAAAAATATAGGCTTACCCTTACCATTTCTCGCGACAAAGACAAATACATGCATTTCATCCATTTCCCTTCCACGCTGATCGATTAGCTATTACATGACAATAAAACCAAATCAATGTGTACACTAACACAATACTCTTATGTCAATATTACATTACAAAATAATTTAGTTCTGTTCATATACAATTTAGTACGGTGCCTTAACCATCTGAAAATAGTGCCTACACTGAAAATTCAATTCAAATATAAACACATTATAAACTTAGCTCAAGAAAAAGTGACCTTGATTTGAGAAATGATTTTTAAGTCAAAATTTTCTAACATGTGTTTTTTAGAAATAATTTAAACTTTGTCACCTGTTTAGATAGAATTTCTATTAACAATTAAATATTAATTAATTACAGTAAAATATATTTGACTCTGGTCCTAAGAAAATAAAACAATATTAAATCAAAATTTTATTTAAATATTTGAATGATTTTGAATCATATTATCATTTTTGACCAGAGCAATGTAAAAACTAAGCATATAGTTTTTAATTACTTTTTGCCTTGCCTCGAACCGCTTGTGCTCAGTTATGCAGGGTGCTAATGAACTTATGTCAAATATGTTTGCCAAATGTCCGTTATGTCGAAATGAGGCAAATACACGGATTTGTGTTTAGTTAAAATGTAATTTTAAAACCTGACTTACCTCAACATTGCAAGGAGCCACCTATTGAGAACTGCTAATGTTCATAGAAGATGTTCGATGTACCCACCATTTGCTTGCACACAAGCTTCAGCGCGACGTACCCAATTCGCTCTCACGTGTTGCAACATTGCCACGTCCCCTCGAATCGTATTACGAGCTTCGGCAATACGATATCGCAGATGGTCGATGTCACGAACTTTCGTGGAATGCACAACACTTTTCACATATCCCCACGAAAAAAAGTATAAAGGGTGAGGTCCGGAGATCGGGGGGAGATCGAACTAATTTTTCTCTGATTAACTCGTCAAAAATATTTAAAGGTTTTTGAATAACAAATTAGATAGTGACCATGGGTTTGACCCAACAGCTGATTAGATATCAGTCTTCAAAATGGCTCCGTCATCACGTTTTAATTACTAAACTAACAATGTTGTGTTAAATTTCAAAATTGTTGTCCAGATCGTACTAGTAGTTCTAGCTGAATATATCCATTGTATGAATGTATGTCGAAGGGTGGTGGAATTGTTTTTCCTCCGCGGCACTTAGGCCTTATTAAACCCCTTATACACCCTCCTTCATTACTCGAGTACTTTTCTTCAAACCATCCTATTTACTACACGGGTGGCTGGGTGGCAAAGTCTCGTACAGTTTATGTATGACAGCGTGGTCATGAGTTACAGAGATTTTCTTTGCTCTGTTCTCATTGCCATTTATCGGGCACCCAGGTCTCTGGTAGGCTGCCACAGCCACGTCCCCGAGACTGCCTTAGGTCACCCATCCAAATTCCAGCCTGCGTCCGTGATGCTTACCTCGGCAGATCGATATCTACCGGCCAAGACACCCGGCTAGGCGGTCCCCTGAATATATCCATTATTTTTGTGATTGAGAAAATCAGTTTAACCTTCAAAATGTTCAAGGACGTCCTAGAAAAACTTTTTGATCCTATATTCCGACATAAAGTTGGTTGCTAGCATAAAAATTAGGGAATTATATTTGATATTATGTTAACCTTAGTTTAACCTTCATACTTACAGTGAAGGTCATATTCAAGGTCACCATATAATTTGTCATTCAAAATCTGACAAATTTTGTTCCATTTTTGAGTTATTCAGAGAAAAATAAGCATGACCTCTAAATGACCCGCAAAGACATAGAGAAAAAATTGTCTGACACCATATTCAGTCGAAAAATCGGCACTCTGTCGGTTCCTGGCATAAAAAATAGTCGGACTACCCAGTATAAAACTGTATAAGCTAGATGCATGCAGATACCAGACTAAAAAGCTTTGTATCTCTAAACACGCAATGATTATTGTCAGTCGAGTAACCCATATTACGAGTACTGGCTTCGCACTTGACGACCCAGCTAATTTCAACTGAAAATATGACTAGACGGAAATCGAAAACTGTGCCCAGTAACTACCAGATGCTGAAAACCAGCTGGGGCGTGCAGGGAAAATTATTCTTCGAGAATTCCACGTTGCATGGTGTTCGATACATCGCTGAAGATGGGAGGCCATTTATTGAAAAGTAAGTATGCGTGGGCTAGCTTGCGTTTGTTTGAAAATATTTCTTTATTTAATTAAAGCACTTTTCAGTTTTCTCTCAGCCCTCATTGGGACTTCTTTAAATTATTTATTTATTACTAGATGTTAAATTTGAAGTATAAATACGTCAAAATTTTATTTTCAAGAATTTATTACTTTTTTTTATAAATATGCCATCTGGAGCACACAAAATATTTAAACAACGAAACGCCAGTTATTGGCTTTGCGTTTGTGTATATGTTTTTTAATATTGTAATAGTGTCGAACGCATCATGGGGTATAAAATGACCTATGACTAGCCGACGAAAAACTCTCGAAAAACAGCACAGCAATCACTACAACAATGTATTACAAACTGACTGTCGAATACAGTCCGGCTTCATAAGAAACCTACAAACTCGTAAAAAGTGTTACACAATTTTTTGTAAGTACTCGCTGCAATAAAATACATGTATTTCAGCAGTTCCAAAACAGTTTTAAACACATTTTTAATTACCTTTTTTCTCCTTAACCTTAAACCTTAAACTTCCGATACAAGTTTGTGACATCAGTTAACTCAGTTTTTGCTCCTTTTTCACCCCTTTAAATTTTTGACATAAGTTCATTAACACCCTGTAATCAGTGGCGGTTTTACCATAAGAGCTGCGGAGCTAAATGTTATGTATTTAATCATATTAAATATCAACAAAATATTTAAAGAATCCAAATGTACTCGCGCTAAAATAAATCCAGGAGCTTATATTATTTTATTATTTATTACGACGCGAGCCACGCTCCTTAATACAGTATATGTAACCTTATATACAAAATGTGTGCACAGCGAATAATTAGATGCGTCCTTTGTTTTTATTGGCTAATGGCACGTGACCCAGTACGAGTATACTTTTATATGGGCTTATGTGGCTGCAACAACGACAGCCACTGCTGCAGTAAATAGTAATATTTCGTACGTGGTATGTGGTGGTTTATTTTTGCGAGCGCCACGTATGAATATTTTCGTTTAGGCATCTGCGGATATTATAGTTATTAAAATGAATAGCGTTTCGTTTAAAATAGTATATTATTCAACGAGCGTATAATGATGGGTATTATTCACGAGGTGAAGTTTACGGCCACGAGCCGCAGGCGAGTGGCCTAAATCACCGAGTGAATAATACCCATTATACGGGAGTAGAATACTATACTTTATCCACGACTACTAAATATTTTTGTTGAAGTTTTTTTTTGAAATGTTTCGAAAAACATGGTATGTTAAGAAACAGATATACGAGTCGCACAAATGAAGTCGCTGATGGCTCAGTGTAGATGCTCTTTCCCTCCCAACCGCGGGTCCCGGGTTCGAATCCGGTCTAGGAAAATTCACTTTTATAATTTTTTTTTTATATGTACAGCACTGAATTGAAAATATTTAGTGGTTTACACGATAAAATTCTAAAAACGGATTGTTTGTAGCAGAACAATATAATATTATAGCTAAATTAAGGAAGCATCTGACAGTAGTGATTAATGACTCATTAATCACTGCCGTGATTAATGGGTATTATTAAGGTCGTGGATAGAGACGTATAATGGGTACATTATACAATAGTCGTGGATAAAGAACTTTATTTGGTTATCTGCCTTTTGAGGATAAACTAAAAATAAAAGAATTAGGTAGGCCAACACCACAATTAAATATTGAAGTTAGTGGAACAAGCGAAGTAAAAGTTGTAAAAGACAATATAACAATAATGTATACACAAAAGTAGAACGGGTGTGAGGGTGTGATATAAAAATACACTGTTTTGTTTTCCGTGCGTACTTCTCGGTGGGGATAAAGCATGGACAATATACAGTGTGAAAGATTTAAGTCATTTAAGTCATTAGGTAAAATAAACATAAGAAGTCAGTTAGATTCTGCATATTGGGATAATATACGGAAACACGATGAACAGGTAACGAAAAATCGTTATGTATTATCTAAAATCATAGATTGAATACAATTTTGCGGAGCTTTCGAATTAGCACTTCGCGGACAAGACGAGACAGAAAATTCGGATAACCCTGATGTGTTTCGTGGACTCATAAATTTTAGTGCAGATCTTGATGACATATTAAAAGAACATCTAGCCACATTGGTATGACCGGGACTTTCTGTGATTGTACCGGGAATTAGCTGTATGGTCCCGGATTTCGGATTTGCACGTATAATTTCCCGGAATATAATAACGAGCGTTCAAATAAAAAAATTTGGACGTAGGGCGTAGCGTATAGCAAATGAACTTAAACGTCATCTGTCAAAACGCTATATCGCCGCTATCAATTTTAATATTTTCGTTTTAAAAAGCGTTTTAAATGGTGTTTTCTCAAGAACAAAAAGTGTTTATCATAGAGTCCTACTTTAGAAATGGACGCAAGATTGATGGAATATGGAAGTATTCTATTGAGGAATGTTTCATAGAATTTCAAAATCAATTTCCCGGCGTTGTTGAGTACAAAATTTTTCAAAGTGCAGTTCAGCGTTGTGTTAATGTTTTTCGTGAAACGGGCAGTGTAACAAGAAAAGAAGGAAGCGGCCGACCTAAAAAGCGGACTGAAGAATTAAAAGAAAATGTCCAACAAATAATGGAAAATGCGCCAAGAACTTCTGTACGTGTTTTATCACAAATGGTGGGAGTATCAGTCGGTACCTGCCACACAGTGTTAAAAANATATGGTAACATATTATGGTATATAATGATCTATTTGACAAACCTAGACCTAGACGTATTTCCTTAGTTCCGTCATATATTTTATTTTTCAATTATGAGAGCATTTTGTGACTGCGAAATATATTCAGTCACGACGAAACGAAGTCAAAAATTAAAATATGTTTTACAGTTTTCTATAAGCCATACAATTTTAATGGTTAAGTTTGATACTGGCTCCATCTGGACTAGAAGCTCCAAACATTCATATTTGTTGTTCTCTTTGGTGCGTATCTCTACTAATGACATTTAAATAAATGGCTACCAAAGAAATAATTTCACAAAAATCTAGACATTGCTGGTAATACTGCATAATTTAGTCTAATATTTTGCAGGTCAGTTCCTCAAATCTGTACGAAGGAGATGTAAAATTATAATAAAGATCTATGACATAAAATTTCAATTTGTTATTATACTTTATTTATCCATAACTTCAATAATACAAATTATTTTGCAATAAAAAATATGTCAACTCCTAGCTCAATACCTTATCTATATAGGCCACATATAATTTTCTCAGAAAATAGTGTAGTTTTTGAAAGGACTATGCTTGGGTGAAGGTCTGTTTTCAGAAAATATCTTTATTCCCCTCTTAACTAGATATTAAATTGCCTGCAACTGACGTTTGCAGTTATTTAATTTTTAACGTACAAATAGTTACGACGACAGAAGGTATCGGATACACAATGAGGGACGTAATGAAATATAATTATCATTTGTTTGCTTTAATCTGGTACAACATGCCTCTGTTCTGTAGCATCGCTATTCAACAAGTCGAACGGGGCTCACGACACTTTAACATCGCCCTCGATTCTGATTGAAATCTGATTGTGGGGTTACCCGTTTTGTGTCTCTTCGCTGTTACCACGGATCATTTGCGCTGTTGCGTTGTAAATACTCCTATATCGATTTCAGTCGAGGCAAGGCATACATTGGGCGCTTTGACGGCACTCAGGCTGTACATTAGGGGCTGCCAAAACCGCGTGTGTGAACGCAATTAACTAATTGTAAGCTTTCGTGGAGTTCGTTCTTCTCTGGCCGGTGTAAAATTTTTAAATTTATGCCGTATATGCGGAGAATTTTGAACTTGTATATGTACAGGGTGTGTAAGTTTAAATGGGGGCCGTATTTATACGGAGCCTACTTTTGAGATTTAGAACGAATCATACAGGGTGTCTCACGGTGACGACCCATTAGAAATATTTCAGAGACTACTTCGATTTGAATTTTGAAAATTTGGGGATACTGGGTTTTCGGGCATGCCCTTCTCAACTAAAATAATGGCGTCCACGTACCACTTCCGGTTATACCGGAAGTCGCCATCAACTTGCTTATNGCATCTTAGAAAATGTCTTTAATTCTTTGAGGAACAGGTGTGAAAAGTGCTTGGAACAAGGAGGGGGACACTTTCAGCAGCTGCTTTAATTTATTGTTACAACAAGGAGGGGGAGACTTTTCGCAGCTCCTTTAATTGTTTGTTATTGTTATCACGATTATTCTTTAAAATAAAGTTATATAGTCATTAACGTTATTGAAAGAGGTATCAATTTCAAAAATCGTTCTTGTGAAAATCTGTATTTTTGTATAAATGAATTGTTCCTTGAAATTCAGAAGTGCCAGGAAAACGCATGTCCTTGAATAATAATAATACTCATATTAATATTTACTATGCTTTCCATGTCTCTTTGACTCGAGTTAGCTTGGCGCAAGTTTATTATAGTTGGCTATATGAAACAATATAGTCAAGATGTGATTGAGTTACAATTGCATTTTCTAATTTAACTATAACGTTAACTACTTTTTTTTTGTTTTGTTTTAAACCTACCTACATTGTCTATTAGGCAGCCTTTATGAAAAGCAATTATGGAGCGAAATTAAAGCTCTGCTTCTGTTTCGGTACAATGCACTACGATATTTGCCATATAGGTTGTTGACAAAATTTCCCAGAGGCAATTCATAAATAATTAGCACTTGGCTTTGTGATATTACTTGCCAGCAAAACCATTACAATATTTTTATATCTGACTGAAAATAAAAACGTTAGACACGTTAGAGTAAATTAAATTGTTATATACAATTATCTTATTTTGTTGCAGTTTTCGAAAAAATATTGTTTGCATCTGGAACACGAAATATTTTTGCGTTCTGGAATGGATATTTTGCCTCGCTAAGCTCGGCAGAATAACTTCCATTCTTGAACGCAAAAGTACCATTTCGCGTTCTAGATACAAAAATAACTATTCAAACGGAATTTGAG